ATAATATATTCATGTCATTCATAGAATCTCTGAATTGGAAGGGATCTTAGAGACCAGCCGGTCACCCCAGGTCTGGAAAAAGAAACGTCTGTATTACACCTGACAGCTGGTCCTCCTGCCTCTGCATAAAGGCCTCCCAGGAGGAGGAGCCCAGCCCACTCAGACACTGCTTACGAAGTTTGTCCTGAGCAAGCCTGAATCTACCTCTTGGCCACTTCTGTCCCTTCCTCTTAGTTCTGCCCTCTGGGGCCAATTAGAAAATGTCTGATTCCTTAACCATAGCAAGTGATTCATACACAGTTAGTATACTTGTTGGATGAATGAATGAGACAAAGAAGTTCAGCAGAAAGAATCCAAGTTCTTGACCTCAAGAGACCCGAGTTCTCATCCTAGCTTCAAGACATACTAGCCGGGAGACCTGAGCAGATTGTAGTCTGTAAAGCTGGGAGGGACTTTAGTATGGATCTGGAATCCTAAGGGACTCTTCAGGTCTGTTAGACCCTTTGCTTTCTAGAGGAGGAAACGGAGACCTCAAGAAGTGAGGGACCTGTTCGTGGCCACACAGGTTGGAGTGAGAGCCAGGATTTGCACTCGAGCCTAGGGATTCCCAAACTCATCACCCTTTTTGTCACACTATATTGCTTCCCATTTTCTTATCTCACATCCTGTTTTCACAGGTGACAAAAAGACCCCAAGAAGGCGAGTGACTTGCTCAAGGCCGTAAGAGATAATAAACAATTTCTCTGAGCCTCCATTTTGCTCATTTGTAAAATGGGAATGAAGATACATATGCAACGTACTTGACAGGGTTGTTGTGAGGAAAGTACTTTGAAAACCTTCAAGTCCTATAGAAATAGGAATCCAGTGAATGAGTATGAAGCACCTACTCTGTGTGACACCCATGGTAACCTCATAGTAGACTAGAATATTATTCCAAACATAGCACATCAGGCACTGGGGACACAATACAGTGAATGAAACATTGCCCACTTGCCCAGAGTTTCCATTCTGATGGTACTTAGTAGTTGGAGGTATCTGAGCAAAGACATCCTGTGCAGTGATGTATTCTTGGCTTAGCGTGGCTCACTGCTAATGGTCCTGATGGTTTGCAGTGACCCTTAATGAATCTTCGAATTTGGGCCAGGTTCCTTGGGCCACTCCAAATTAGGTTTCAATCTGTAAGTGAGCAGATTTGTGAATTCAGACTACTTTGGGGCCATTCATTTAATGGCTTCTGAAAGGCAACCGCTAATGACAGAACAATTCCATTTGCTGGGGACAGAAACCGTCTTCTCTGTCTAGGGTCATGAGAGTGATCTTTGATGGCGGGCCTTCTTTACCCAACCAACATGAACCTTTGGAAAGCTTTTCGTAGGGGCCAGCTTGGATCGGCCCTTATCCAAAAGAACACCAGCGTCCACTGCCTCAGAACATGGATAGGAGAATACCTTTAAAAGTATGAAGCATTCCATAGACACAAGAGATAGACCATGATAATCACTGTTGTTACTTCTGGAATGAACAATTGATTTGGCTGGCCCAGAATTTAAACTCCCTCCAGGTAAAATTTAAGAATGTAGACTTTAATGATAATTTTCTTGCTAGTGGCATTAATCACTAATGTCAGATGATGATGATGATGATAGCAAATATATGTATATACATACATATACCACTTTAAGGTTTTCTAAGTGCTTTATGGATATTTGCAACCCTGTAAGGTAGATGTTAATTATCCCCATTTTACAGATGAGGAAACTGAGACAAACAAGTTAAGTGACTTTTCCAGGATCACACAGCTTGTAAGTATATGGGGTGGGATTTGAACTCAGGTCTTCCTGACTCCAGGTCAAGCATTCTATTCACTGTGCCTCCTATGTGCTTCAATTCAGTCCAATAAGCACTTCTTAAGCACCTGTTCTAGGCCCTGGAGATACTCATGCTCAGGTATCGCTTCAGAGTGCCGGTGCATCTGTGGTCTCATCAGTCTGGTTCTTCCCTCCAGCGGTACAGACTGGAGCCCATCCTTGCTCCCCTGTAATGTGGAAGCTTTTCCATGTTTTCCTGTGAATGTCCCACAGAGAATCCACTCCCTAGGCTAGGCAGCATCCTCAGTTTCCCCTGCTATTTCTAGAGTTCCAGCAGAGTATTCTGGGACACAGAAAGACAACAAAGCAAGAGGCCCAGTATCACTCTTCTTCTGAGAGCTGGCGTAGGAGCATTGCTTTAATAATGCAGCATTATGGTTATGTTCCATTTTTGGAATTCCACCGAGATTCTAGAATTTTAAGTTTCCCCTTTTTGTTGTATGTTGCTTGATCGTATCGTATTGTTATCCCACAGGCAGTTAATAATCTGGCAGGGAATCTGTGTGGGCTTCTCTTGAACATCAGGTTAAACTATCATATGAATACATTTAGAACATCAACTGAGTGTAACAGTGTTTCCTGACACTGCCTGGAAAAAGGGAAGACTTGGCCCGGGGCTGTTTTCTTCCCATAGGTTGCGGAAACCTCTCACAATGAAAATAACCTGTACCCAGAAATGACATAGTTTGTAAAAAGTAATGGAAAGGATGGACCCCAGTTTTATCTAGCTCTGCATCGTGATTTTGACAGAAAAAAATTAATCTAAACGGGAAGGAAATATGGCATGGTATGGATTCACTGGTGTTCAATCCATTGATTCTTTTAGAATATGTTGGGGGATCTATTTCCTGGACATCTGTCATTTCCAAGGAAAAACTAAAACTGAATGTTGTATTCAACAGCTAGATATTGTGAGTTAAAAATAGTCCTTCTCTGATGTGCCACTCAGGCTCCTCTCAGGCTGCCGGTGTCAGAAGGAAATCATTATTAAATGCTAGAATTAAATGTGTTGTGCTTATGTGGTGAGCTCATTTACATTTTATGGAATAATTTCATTCGTTCTGTACTGACTGGCTTGCATGCAAATTGAACACAGTTTCAGTGAGTTTTCAGGTTGTAATTTAATCAGCAATTGACTTACAGAATCTAAATATAAACCCAGGAAGACATTGTTAGGTGCTAGCATCTGGCTACTCTCTAGGCTGAAATATTCCCCTTTATTCTTTGGGGGGCTTTTCTTGGTGGGCAGGGGTTCCACTGGCCTTATTTTCTTTTTCCATTCTGAGTTGCAAAGAGGTAACTAGGAAAATGCTGAAGAAACAGATTAGAGCCCATGAAAATTGGGCTGGGTCCTCTCTCTTTTCCCATCTCCATCCCAGGAATGAGGTACAAATGAGGAAGAACATGGTAGCTGTCTAAAGCACGTAGGGATGTACAGGATGAAGTACGTGGCATCCCACTGCATCACAGTGTTCCAACACCGTGGAGCCCCTTTGTCAGAAGGGAATGAATCTAAATGGGAGGGTGCTCATCGCAGGTAAGCCTGGACCCGGTGCTGGACCCCAGTGGGCAAGACCGTACATCTACGATTCACTTCAGCAAGTACTGTGTGCAAAACTCTATGTGAGCAGCTGGGAACACAGTAGTAATGAAGATGACAAGATCCTTTCCCCACAAGGAGCTGGGGAGCAAAGAAAGCCATGAGGCCCCTATCTCCATATCCTCTTTGGGTAGCTTTAATGCCACCCTCAGTCCTTCAGAGTCGTGACTGAGTGGATGACTATTTGGCAGTAGGGTTCGAGGGAGACTGGAGCCTAGGAGGATGGTTAGGAAGTCATTGCAGCCATCCAGGGACTGGTCTTGGGAGTCGTAGCGGTACAGATTTCTGCATCTATTTTTGGGAGGGGACAGATGGGCTTTGCAGTACGAAAGGAGGAGTCTGAGAGGATTTGGTGACTCATTGGACATGGAAGACATGAGAAAGAAAGACTTCGAAATGTTGAGCCTTGTGCTCTGGGCTGAATTACTTTTACCATCGACAGATATGGGGATGGCAGGAAGAGAGGCACATTGTGAGAAAATAGACTCGCTTTACTAATAATTCTTCTTCCAATAGCATTTACAGTTGATGCCTGATGGAGAAAATAATTCAATTGAGCCATCATTTATTAAACACCCAGGCTGTGCCAGGCACTGTAAACTTCCCTTGTGCCTTCCTCACTGGAGGAGAATTCAATTGAACATGAAGGCCTTCAAGGCAGGGACTGTCTGGTTTTTGTCTTGCATCTTTAGCACTGGATTTCAGAGTGGGGAGGGAAGCCAAGATGAATTTAGTTTTAAATACAGTAAATTTAGGTCATAAAGGAATATGTAAGTGAAAATGCCCACTGCAGTTGGGAGTTGGGGACAAGTTCAGGGTCATCTATGAAACTGTGATAGTTGTGACTTGTACGTTGATAAGGAAAGCAAGGAGTGAGATGGGCAGGGATTCAAGGACTGAGCCCTTAATTTAGGGAGTAGGGAGAGAATGAGGAGGCCAAAAGGAAAAGAAAAGGTAGGAGAACCACAGTAGGGTAAGAAACATAATAGAGAAAATGGGAGAAGAGAATTTCCAGCAATATAACTGGTGTGCCCCGTGGACCCCCAACCCATACCAGTCCTCGGCAAGTCTTCATCCTTGTCCATGCTCCCCATAAGCGCACAACTAGGGGTCCAGCCAGAGACCTTCTTCTATTCCTCCTGACATCTCCAGATACCAGTGACAAAGAACTTGGGAAAGAGATCTTTTGGAAGGAGGCGACCAAGGAGCTCTTGAATATTAACTGTCTGTTTTCAAAATGAGTCCTTTGTGTTCCTGGAGGTTGGGACTGGGGTCCAGAGCACAGTGTGAAAATGACGGCCTAGTTGACTGGCCTGAGGTTTGCTGCAGTCATGTGTGCTTTTTACTTCTCTCTTGCCTATCAATCTGTCAGTGATTGATTGATTTTTGCCGCTTGTATTCCCCTTCTGGTCTGCAGGTTCTGGAGTGTAAGCTGCACCTGGAGCTCAGAACTCTAACCGATAAATAAAGGTTCAGGTTGAATAGATGAAGGACTAATCCAGTTTGGTTTTTTTTTTCTTGTTTTATGACAGTCAGCTGCTGAATATGTGAAATCCCGCCTGCCTGAGGTCCTGAAACAACATCTCCAGGACTATGAAAAGGACAAAGAGAACAGCGTGCTATCCTACCAGGCCATCCTGGAGCAGCAGATTCTGTCCATCGACCGAGAGATGCTGGAAAAACTGACCGTCTCCTACGATGAAGCAGGTATGGCTGGCAGCTTCCTTCTTTGCAAAGGCGAGAAGAATGTTTCTGGCCCATTGCCAAAATCTGTGGCTTTTAAAAAGGGAGGAGATGAATGGCAAACACAGGGTTCAGAACTATAAAGTATGTGTGAGAAAATTTTCTTATACAACATGAAATGTAAGACTTGTCTGTCATTCCTGAAACAGGTGGTTAAATACCAAATCACTCTGAAAAAAAGAAAGCTGTTTTACTAATGGGATTTTCTGGTCTCTTATCTATTGTGGGTTCCTATTGATCTAATCTTAAATGTCACTTCTCTAGTTTGCTCTCCTTACTTGGAAATGTTAAATTAGCCTAGCTGAGAAACTATTTACTCATTCATTCAGTAGGTATTTATTAAGCCCCTTCTGTGTGTAAGGGACAGTGTTCTCTTCTAGGATAACAGAAACAAAAGTAAAAACAGACCATGCCCTCAATGTGTTCTGTGTTCTGTGAGGGATAGAATATCTAATGAAGGTATAAGAATTTGACAATCCTTTTCCTCACTATGTGCCTGACACATAGTAAGCATGCAATACACATTTTTCCTCCCTTTCTTCCATGAGGGTTATTTGAGTTCCTGGCCTTCCTCAGTTTGGAGAAGACTTTAGAAAGCTAGGAAGATGCTTAGCTCCAAGCAGGATGGCTGTAGTGCACTGAGAGCTGGACCAGAAGAAGGTGGCGCCCTGGTTGCACCCCTCACCCACTGTATGGCTATTGGTTGAGGAACTGGGCCCCAGTGGTTTTTGGTTTCTAAATCTATATGGTGAGGATTAAATAATTGTGAGGCTTAAGTAATTTAACATTTATTATGATATGTTAACATATAATGTGTATATATATATGTCTCTGTATATCTATATTCATCCATCCATCCATCCATCTATCTATCTATCGAATTGTCTCCCCTTCCATCCCCTCCCCCCATTAGACTGTGAGCTCCTTGAGGGCAGGGATTATCTTTTGCCTCTTTTTGTATACTAAGTGCTTAGCACAGTCCTTGGCACATAGTAGACACTTAATAAATGTGGATTGATTGAGATAGCACTCACCTGGAGTGCTTTGTCCTTCTCACCACCATTCCATGTGTGCCATCTCCCTCAGACTTGGGCTTAAAACTTGTTTCTTCTATGGCTAATGACAATTGCTAGCATTCATTTGCAAAACACTTTACTTACATTATCTCATTTGGGCCTCGTAATAACCATCCAAGACAGGAGGGCATTTTGAGGGGAGCTCAGGCCAAGCATGTTCAACATTTTGTTATATCCTACTCCATGCTCACTGAAGGAAATAATTTCAATAAACAGAAAAGAAGAAATAAATTAGAAAGATTTGTAATCTAGTCAGGAATAATTTTTCCTAATAGCTCATAATATATTTGGATCCGATGGTGAGAGAGATCAAATATTTCCAATAACCAGTGGGAGTACCACTGGACTTTGAACCCTGTGATAAGTACGTAGCTCAGATGCTTAATGCTGCCATAGTACCGTGCGCATTTTCCATTTTGCTCTCTCATCCTCCTGAAACGGCCCTCTAAATTTTAGGAAGTGGCTCACTGGAAGGTATCCCCATCTCTAGAGAGGCTAATCCATCATTAGTGCCTGTCCTCTGATAAATCCTCCTGAGTGCCATAATGGATGTCGCCACCATCTGTGGCTCCTTTAAGCCAACCACCAGAAACCAACGAGTAAGGAACCCTTCCTGAGGCATTGTTTAAAGCGTTGGCCCAGAGTACTGGGTGGCCAGTGCTTGGCTTCCCAGCCTTCTCTCTCTCCTCCCCTGCCCCCTTCTCCCTCACCTTCACTTGTGTTGGTATATGTCTACAAGTACACCTTCCCTATACAGAACCTTAGGACACTAAAGTTGGAATAACTAACATTTACATGACCCTTGAGGGTTTGCAAAGGGTCTCCACAACAACCCCAGGAGTTCGGTGTGATTTTTAGCCTCATTTTACAGCTGAGGAAACTGAGGTTTGAGCAGTTCAGGGACTTGCTGATAAGTGTCTGAGGCAGGATTTGAACCCAAGTCTTACCTTGCTAGGTAGCTGCCTGGAAAGGGACTTCAATGATCCTCTAGTCTACCAAACACAGCTGCTAAGTGAACAAGCCTCAAGGTGGTAGGGCTACGGAGACAAAAGATAAAACAGCCTTGTCCTCAAGGCCCTTCAATACAGCCTGAAGAGAGAGAAGTACATACAAGATAATTTAAGGAGGGAAGGGAGCCCCAATAAGGAAGGGGAGGGGATCATCTTAGGTGGCATTCTTGGATAGGGAGGCCATCTGTTAGGTCAGTTCTTTGTTGAATAGAGAGTAGTAGTCCCACAATGAGGCTGTCTGGTGGCAGTAAGCTGACCCTGGGTTATCAGAGGTGAGGCAGTGAGGCAGGACAGTGGAGAGTGCTGGGCTTAGGGGCAGGAAGATTCATCTTCCTGAGTTCAAATGTGGCCTCTTTACTAGCCATGGGACTCTGGGCAAGGTCTCTGTTTGCTTCAGTTTCCTCAAATGTAAAATGGGAGTCATAATAGCACCCACCTCCCCAGGTTGTGGCGAGGATCAAATGAGATCATAATTGTAAAGCGCTTAGCACAGTGCCTGGCACACAGGTGCTATGTAAAGGTTAGCTATTATTAATTATACCAGTAGGGCACAAGTAGGAAAGGTATTGAGTACTGGCCAAGTAACAGACCATCTTAAAAGCAGCCTCATGACATGTGGGGAGGCTCATCATCGCTGAGGTGGCCACGGATTCATGCATTTTTTAGGCACAGTAACTCTAGGAGCTGGCCCCTGAGGGATGAAGGGTTTACTCTGTGTGTAGACAAAGGGAATGGCCATCTCTCTGAGCAGGAAGAAGAACCCATCCACAAACATATTTGACTAGGCGCCATCTGGCCTTGATCTGAGGACCTCCATTGACGCAGCCTGTGCCCGTCTGTCCAGTGCTCGCAGGTAATTGGAAATGTTGAAGTATGTATGAATAATAACTAAGCTAAGCCAGTGCATTTGTTAAGCATTTACTTTGAACTAGGCATAGTGCTAAGCACCGAAGGGACACATACAAGTGAAAAAGACTGTTCCTACTCAAGGAACTTGCATTTTAAGGGAAGATAAAACTTAAAAAGGGAGGGAGGCTTCTGGGGAGGAGGTGGAAAAGTCCAGAGAGTCAAGAATGAAGTGAACATGGTCAAGCATCTCATGAAAAATGGTGGTCCTGGCCAGGGGTTCCCAAAGAGGAGGGAGCCATGGGATAGAGGTGGCAGCAGGGCAGGGAGGCCAGAGCACTCAAGCGTCCTTTTGAGGAGAGTCTGGTTCGACCCTCAGGCCTTCCTAGCGGGAGGGAGGGAGGGAGGAGGGAGGGAGGGAGGGAGAGGGAGGAAGGAAGGAAGGAAGGAAGGAAGGGAGGAAGGAGGAAGGAAAGGAGGGAGGGAGGGAGGGAGGGAGGGAGGGAGGAAGGAAGGGAGGGAGGGAGGAAGGAAGGAAGAAAGGGAGGGAGGGGAGGAAAGGGAGGAAGAAAGAGGGAAAGGCAGGCAGGCATCTTTTTTCAGGTTCCAAATCATACTATGGTTCTCCCATCCAACTGTAGATGTTGAAGACCTCTGAGACACAGCTGCATACAGTTAAGATCCCAGAAAGGCAGTATTGTACATTCTGCATAAAGAACATTTAAAAGGGAAAAACAATTGCCCTCAGCAATTCAGAAAGTGGTAACAAGAGGATTCTCTGCTATTGAGCTTTTTTGATGATTCTAAAAAGCCACCTTAATTGTGCTATTAGAGGCCTTGTAGCTGGAGGCTCCAGAAAGAAGCCAATTTGCCATGAAAGGGGAAGAAATGACTAAGCTTTCAGAAACTGAGCGTGAGAAAGGTCTGGGAATTATTTAGGATCCTCTTCAGTGTTTTAGGCAACATAAAAGTGCAGTAAAAAGTTCTTTGCAGGAGGGTCTCCCTTCAAACACGTTGGGTGCATTTCTCAGCCATGTCCGAAGGGAACAAAGCTGCCTATAGATTCTCCAGGTGTGTCCCCAGGCTGTGCCCCATCCCAGCTGTCACCAGCTGTTCTTTCTTTCTTTCTTTTTTTTTTAAAATATAAATTTATTTATTCTTAGTTTTCAACATTCACTTCCACAAGTTTTTGAGTTCCAAATTTCTCACCCCTCCCCCCACCCCAAGATGGCATGCATTCTGAATATCCCTTCCCCTAGTCTGCTTTCTCTTCTATCTCTCCCCCCTCCCTTCTCTTATCCCCTTCTATTTTCCTGTAGAGCAGAATAGACTTCTGTACCCCATTTCCTGTATTTCTTATTTCCCAGTTGCATGTGAAAACATTTTTTTTAAACGTGTTTTTAAAACTTTGAGTTCCAAATTTTCTCCCTTCCTCCCTCCCCACCCACCCTCATTGAAAAGGCAAGCAACTCAATATAGGTTGTACATGTGCAGTTATGCAAAACACTTCCATAGCAGACATGTTGTGAAAAACTAACTCTATTTCCCTTAATCCTATCCTGCCCTCCCATTTATTCTATTCTTTCTTTTGACCCTGTCCCTCCTCAGAAGTATTTGCTTCTGATTACCCTCTTTCCCAATCTGCCCTCCTCTCTATCATCCCCCTGCTCTCTTGTCCCCTTCTCCCCCTATTTTCCTGTAGGGTAAGACAGATTTCCATACCCAATTGAATGTGTATGTTATTCTCCCCTTAAGCCAAATCCTATGAGAATAAGATTCCCTCATTCCCTCTCACCTTCCCCTCTTTCCCCTCCACTGTGAGAGACTTTTCTGTTCTGTTTTTTTATTTTGTGAGATAATTTACCTCATTCTATCTCTCCCTTTCTTCTCTGAGTATCATCCTCTCTCATCCCTTAATTTTATTCTCCAGATATGACCCCTTAATCTTCAACTCACCCTGTGCCCTCTATCTATCTATTTATATATATATACACATATAATTTTTTCCCTTCAATTACCGTAATACTGACAG